CCGCTCCCGTCCATATAGAAATGCGCTACCTAGAAGTCATAGAACTCGTTCCCTTCCCCAGACCATGTATGGAGCTCGCTCCACCATCTAGGGAACTTTGAGATAGACTCACTCCACGCTCCCGTTGCCGGAACTCCTCACGTTCTCGTTCCCGGTAACTATGGTATAACTACCGCCTCAGAGCACACACTAACAAAGATTATGGAAAAAAAGATCCATATCTGCTTCGGCTCAGAACCCACAAGTAAAGTGGCTGGTCTTCCCATAAGTGTAGCAGTTCACGGATGACTCATTTTAGGAGTGTTGTACTTGCCTCCCCATTACTTGGCATACTTTCCATTTGCACAATCAGCTCTCATTTCCTCCTTCTAGGAGGAATTCATGCCCTTAGGAATGCCCTTGGGTTTCTCCCACCATTAGGTTTGCCTGGCTTGCCAAACACGACAATGACACTATTCACTAACAAAGTGGTGCTTTGCCTTTAACTCCTAATGATGAGGTACCAAACAAAATTCTTGACCCTCCTTATGTGTCATCAGTATCTTCACCTGTACCCTGGGTTTAGTGATCACAACACAGCCAGTATCTATTCCTCAAGGAGGTTAATGCTAATGGTCAAATGTTCCAGTAAACCCCGCCCATCAAGCAGGTAGTGCAGTTTATGGTGCCACATATGGTAGTTGTTATCATTCAACTTCTCCGCTCTAATGAGATCAGCAATCACTTCTTTGATGTCATAACAGTCTACATCGGTGAAAGAAAAAAGGATCATAGTAAGGTTTGATCACACATGGTTACAGATTCACATATGGATATCATGGTTTGTAGCACTCGCTTGAGCTACAAGGGTCAAGATAGATAAACTTCCAAACAACTCGAAGAAAGTATTTCACACAGATATACTGGCTAGTGCTATTAATCAGCATCAAGTAAAGATTTGGAAGTTAAATTTCATAATCCTCGTCACAGGTGAGTGTTTGCATCCTCCATGCAAAATTCCACAATCTAATAATGATACCCCACAATGACTCTTAAAATCATATTTCCTAGGCAATACAGCAACACGCCATGTTCAAAGGGTATCGAAAAGGCAATCAAAAACTTCTAGGGCAGATATCATGGTCGTGAAAATACAATCAGCAAGTGGGACCTTGCATTCTACAGCAAGGCTATATTATACAAAAGAATTTAGCACAGGTACAAAGTTATGCCCTCATGAAAATCAAGCCTAAATTAGGAAATTCTGAGGCAGAACTCTGTGACTGCAAGGCCGTAATCGTACACCGTAACCAGGCAGCTGCAAGCAGGTAAGGTGTGACCCCACTCAAACATTTTGGTGCGACTGCAGCCACACTAGTGCGGCTTCAGGCATGTGGCCACATCTGTGCTACTTCAGGGCCGCACTCATACATCTGCATAGCCGCTATAGACACAAGCTCAACAACTCTGTACAGCTACGGATGATTCTGAACTTATCCATGGCTTGAGGAGAGACCCATAGTCTATATCAATGGTTTAAAAAACGGATCGGTGACCCGCATCGGGCACCTCAAAAACCCATCCGATCGGTGAATCGGCGATCCGAATCGAAAATCGGCCGAATCAATCGGAAGCCTTAAAAAAAATCCGAAAAAATTATTAAAATTCAGTATAAATGTTGTTTTTTAAGAATCCAATAAGAAATGAAGGTAATACATTATTATTTCATTTTTTTCATCAATTTACGAATATTGAGATGTTCTTTCCCTGTTTAAACTTATGTTAACCATTAAATTTGCAATTACATAAAAGAAAAATCATAGAATCATCATGGATAAAATATACAATCATATATGGACTACAATAAAGAATGGATTAAATCGATGAAAAATGGCCACTAAAATATCGAATTATTGTATTATTGTATTATTGTATTATTGTATTATCTTTTATTTTGTTTTTTATTTTTTGATGACATTATTTTATCCTTTTATTTTATTTTTAGAGGATAAATTGTTTTTTGACAAGAAATTCTTGTTGCATTATCTTTTATTTTACTTTTTTCTTTTATTTTTTTTATGATATTATTTTTTCTTTTTATTTTTTTTGAAAGATAAAAATAAAACTCTTTTTTTCCTTTTTTTTATGACATTATTTTCTTTCTCTTTATTTTTTTGATGACATTACTTTTTTCCTTTATATTATTATTTTGTTTTGTTCTTTTTATTTTTTTCGCTTTTTTCTTTTTTTATATGACATTAGTTGACAAAAGACTATTTTTTGATGATATTATTTTTTTATTTTCGTTTTTTTTCTTTTTTTTTATGGCATTCAAAAGGGAAAACGTCAACATAGAGGTTCAAACTCAAACCTGGGACCTTTTGCTCAAATAGCAACGTGGTAGCCAAACCTCCCGGATGCCACATTGTATTAGTTTCCCTATAATAAAACAATATATTGATTTGCGGTCCAACGTTGGGCATTGAATTGTATTTGTCCCACATCGAAGAGAGGTGGCACAAAAAACAATTATATAAGCACTTCCAACAGTGTCTCTCATGAAGCATTGGTTGAGGTGAGAACCATGTGTGGCGCACACGAGGCATTTGAGATTTCTCCGCACGTGCGGAGTTTTGCGACGTCAACCAAAACCTATCGAGCCGATCTGTGACGTCATACGGGCGGTTTATGACATCATACGGGCGGTTCACTATTTACAACTAGCAGTTTATGACGTCATGTGGGCAGTTCTGCTCTAAAACCGGGGCGGTTCTCGATTTTACACATAAATTGGCACAGAGTGACCGATTCTTGTGACGACTCGGGCGAGTCCGTTGTGACTTGCCAATTTGTTAAACACTGGTCTATGTTATAGAACTGGGTGCCAACCTTATGGAGACAATGGCATCCTATTTTGATGAAGAGACTGAATGTTGGCCACTCAGGAGATGCTGAGATTCAGGATGTTTGGCTCCATAACCTCTTGCAGCTGCATGCCAAACACTATCACCAGCTGCTGTACGGTGAATCCACGTGGCTCCCGGGCTGCCACGGACCTGTTTCATGCAGCCATAGCCGCAGCTGCAGCTGTACAATAGATCATGCATCTGCAAGCCCTCATGCCTCACAAATGCGCATGCATTGTCATGCAACGCCACACTAACACATAACACTTGGTGCCCTCCCCCTCTCTCCAGAGAAACCCCACACACGCCTCCCTCTCCTTGCTTTTTGTCTCTAAGAAAGAACAAGTTCCACCAATTAATTCAGAGGAACTCTTAGGCCATCTCCATCGAGGCTCAGGGTTTTGCGCTGTGAAATAATCACGTTTCTTGCAATCAAAGAAGCACACATTAGATTACAGTCATCAAACTATCAACCCTAAAAGGAGTAATAGGAAGCAAAAAAAGAAGAGATCCACAAAAAAGGGGATCAAAAGGTATGTAACCTCTATTATATCCTCATAGTTTTTGTGCTTTAATGTTTGTGTTGCATTGGAATGCACCAACACTTTTTGTGCGTGATGCGCCCCATGTGCATGCACAGCCCTGCACTTGTGCCTGGCCTTTTGCATGTGGCCTGCACACAATGTGCACCAAGTGCTAGTGCACGACCCAGCACATATGCCGCCCTCTGCGCCCACACGGCCTCGCATGGTCTAACCATGCTGCTTGCGCTAGTGTCCCACATGCACTACTCGTGCAGGTTGAATGCATGCGCATGTCAGAGAGCATGCATTAACTTTACGCCAAGTATCAAAATACACCCAGTCGCAGACATGGATTTTGATGAAGCTTGGACCAAATTGAAGCATCTCCCAAGTAAGATTTATCAAATGGCAAATTAGAGCGAAAGCCTGTGTTCTTCAAGAGGTTTTCTTAAGCGTGCAACTCATATAACTTATCATTGTGTTTGGTTGCATCCTGCGGGTATGCCACAACTTCATTGCATCTTTGTTCTTCCGTGTGGGGAGATGTACATACCTCGAAGACGGTGAGAGCATCCCTTGCCTATGAGACCAGGAGTTGAAGCAAAGTGGTCCTTTATCTCAACTAAGTTCTAGTTGCCATTTTCTGAACTCAATAGAATACAGGTCGCAACAAGCTGAGTTCTGTTGGGATTTGGACTTCACAATGACTGTATTGACTTCAATTATGCAGTTTTAACCGTAAGTTTAGATCTTTCACATCGTTTATTCATTTTCATCACAGTTACACTTATTAACCACACAGTATAGAGCTCATATCTCTTTTGACTACAGTTTTTTTTTCTTTTCAAGTGTTCACTTAACAAAATAAAATCTTGTTTTAACTACAGTTAACTTGTACAGAGCCCAAAAGGGGCTTTTCTGGTTTTTGTGGACCTGAAATACCAACATGCCACTCCACGGTCCATACCACGAAATAAAAGGAGCCAAAGTAATTTCCACGAAATGTCTATTCTTGCTCCAACCAATCCCATCTTGCCGAGGTTTTTCCATGAACATAGTAGATGAACATTGTCTTAACCATCTCTTTCTGAAAAGTAATTTTAACATTTGCACAAAATTAACATTCACAAGAACTATTTATAGAAGAAGCACAAGAAGCTATTGTGTCTGAAAACGATAAATGTGCGGCAACAAGCTTTTAAGATCCTACATATGCCTTACAAAGCATCCTGCATGGATATAAGAACCATTTTCATGCTGCATCACAAACAGCGAGAGTATGGAAATCTCAAAAGTAGACTCTCTGAATGCATGCTCCAGCTATGACTACAACTATTTATTTGGTAGACAGAAGCAATCATCATGAGGTCACAGTGCTTTACATCAAAATAATCATATTTGGAAGTCATAATTGAGAATAGGGTTATCAAATATAATAAATATCAGAATTAGAATAAGCAGAAGACCATGATGAAGATCTGAAATACAACATGGTTGCGTGAGCATTGCATACAGAAATTTCAACAAGGGAAGTTAGCTACAAGCTACTTGGACTTCCTAATTCTCCCATAAATACCAGTTTGCAACTCACCAATAAGTTTGATATCAGTATTGTCTACCAGCCACTGCGCACCATCCTTCATAAAGCCAACATAGCTTGTATCAAACTCTCGTTTCAGCATGAGATTCCTGAGACAGCACAATAAAGAGTTGTTTTGCAGAATTTATAACTAAAACGTGCATAAAACGACTCAGCAGGAAAAAAACTACATAAAAAATTGGGAAGAAATTCCATCATGATGTTATATAACATGCCTGCAAGTGATTCCACTTATATTTCTGTATGGCTAAGAAAAAACAGTTGGAACATGCAGCTTTCCTAGGTGAGATTATGTATGGTGCGTGCAAAAGGTGAGCCCCACCTAATTTTTTATTATAACATTATGGTGCGTGCAAAAGGTGAGCCCCACCTAATTTTTTATTATAACATTATGGTGCGTGGTGAAGGTAAGCCCACGTAATTTTATGTTATAACATTAATCCATTCATATTTGTAGAAAGATTTTCGGAAAAGAAGCAAAGTACCACTCGTGGACGAGCATACATAGTAATAAAATGGTGGGTATGGTGCAACTCCATATTGAACTAAGAAGTACCCTGGAAAAGTTCTCTCTTATCCAATATTAATGCATCCTAGAAACATTTTACAGAGTTATGGCTCATTTTAAAATTACTCCAAACCATAACTCGGCACTGCTGGGGTGGAAACCCTAAACTCTTCACAATGCCTCTTATGTAATCCCTCATCACCAGATACAGATTGAAATATATTCAGCCCTTCTCACATGCCCCTGAGGGTACTATAATACTCACACACTTATTACCATGTTACACTTGAAACATTGTCTCAAACAGCGCATATATCCGAGGGATAATTTTATGTTATGAGTATGTTTTGCTCATGTATCTGAGAGAGATTTTATCTTATGAATATGTTTCTTTCAAAGTGTCCCAAATTTCTTTAGTTGTATCAAAAACATTAGATTGGCACTTATTTGGGGTTCCACACTACTCCATAACCAAGTCCAGATATATAATCCTCCCTCATCAACTCTTTGTATCTACTATTAGATTTACTAGGATTGTCCTCATTCAAGTATTTCAGCTTCCCCCTTGCACCGAGCGATACTTTGACAGATTGAGCCTAGGCAACATCATGGGACTCATTCATTTTTACGAAAGTCATTTGTAGCCCCACAGTTTCAGGACTAAGGATTCCATGTTTAATTCCCTTACACATGAGTCATCATCATCATCATCATCATCATCATCATAACCTTTTCCCAATTAATTGGGGTTGGCTACACGAATCTTGATCCGCCATTCTGCTCTAATAAAGGCTATATCCTTAGTGAGGCCATAAGTCCCCAGATCTTTCCGAACTACTTCCAACCACGTCGTTTTGGGCCTACCACTGGCTTGTTTAAGTCCTTCCACTTGAACTAACTCGCACTTCCTAACAAGTGTTGTACTTGGTCAGCACCACACATGGCCCGTCCACCTAAGTCTACTATCTCATCTTATCGCCTATTGGTGTTACATCTAAATTCTCCTGGATGGATTCATTTTGAATTCTATCCCTTCTTGTCGTTCCACTAATCCATCTCAACATCCCCATCCCAGCTACACTCATTCAATGGGTATATTATTTTTTGTCTACCCAACATTCAGCCCCATAGAACAAAGCTGGTCTCACAGCTGTCCTATAGAACTTGTCCTTCAGCTTTAGTGGTATGCGGCGATAACATAAAATTCCAATAGCACATCTCCACTTCGCCCACCCAGTTCTAATTCTATGTACGACATCTTCCTCAATCTCTCTATTTTCCTGGATTATCGACCCAATATATTGAAAGTGCGGTCTTTTATGTACGTCCTGGCCGTCAATCTTAACTACTTCCTTGTCTCTACTCCAATTATTACTAAACTTGCATTCCATATACTCAGTCTTAGTCCAGCTAATTTTAAAACCTTTGGATTCTAGAGCATCCCTCCAAAGTTCTAACTTTGTGTTGACACCGTTTTGGATCTCATCGATCAAAACTATGTCATCTGCAAACAACATGCCCCCATAGTATCTCATCCTGTAGTTGCCTAGTTAAGCCGTCCATAACTTAGATAAAGAGGTACAGGCAAATGCTGACCCTTGAAATAGACCTATTGTCACTAAAAACCTCACTCGCCTCTCCACTAGTTGTTCGTACACTAGTTAACGCTCCATCGTACACATCTCTCACCAAGTCGATGTAGTTTTTGGAGACTCCTTTCTTTCCAACATCCGTCAAATCAAATCTCGAGGTACTCTATCATAAACTTTCTCTAAAACAATAAATACCATGTGGAGGTCTTTTCCCTTCGCCCTAAACTTCTCGATCAATTGCATAAGTAGGAAAATAACCTCGGTTGTTGACCTTCTTGGCATAAAACCAAATTGGTTTCAGATACATACGTTTCATGCCTTAGTCATTGCTCAATCACTCTCTCCAAGATTATCATAGTATGGCTCATAAGCTTGATCCCTCAATAATTCGCACAATTTTGTATATCTCATTTGTTCTTGTAAATAAGTACCACGATATGTTTTCTCCATTCGTCTGGCATTTTTTTGTTCTCAACACCTTGTTGAATAGCTTTGTTAGCCAGTCAATGCCAATCTCCACCATGTACTTCCAAACCTCTATTGGTATACCATCTGGTCCTAAAGCCTTTCCTATCTTCATCCCTTTCAAAGCTTCTTTCACTTCCGACATCCTAATCCCACGAAGGTATCTATGAACTCCACCCTCATTTGCACTACATGTTCCATCTAGTACTATATTCCCATTGTGTTCGTCATTTAATAATTTGTGAAAATAAACTCTCCACCTTTCGTTCACCAAAACCCTTTGATCCTCACTCTTAATGCATTTAATAGAATTTAGATCCTTACACTTTTTCTTTTTTCTTTTTACCAATTTGAAGACATCTTTTTCACCGTTTCTTGTTCCCAATTTATTGTATAGATTATCATATGCCTTAAGTTTATCTTTACTTACTATTTCTTTAGCATTTTTCTCAACATTTTTATATTCTTCTAAGATTTGATTGTTTCTATTACACTATCACGTTTTACAACATGATCATTTTTCGCTAATGGCCTACTGAGCCTTATCACTCCACCACAAAGTTTCCTTATCAAAGTTTCTTTTCTCTTTAGATTCTCCTAAAACTTCTTTTGCTACTTTCTTGATACAGTCAGCCATCTCATTCCACATTACATTGACAATATGTTCAGAGTTCCATTTTCCTTCTTCAACTAATTTATCCCTAAATAAGTCTATTTTCTCAATTTTAAAATTCCACCACCTAGTTCTTGGAGTCCCATCACTTTCACCCATTCTATTCCATGTCTTTATGCAGACGTCCATAACCATGATCCTATGTTGGGTAGTCAGATTCTCTCCTAGGATAATCTTGCAGTCTTTATATGATAGACGATCTACCTTCTTAACTAGGAAGAGGTCTATCTGGCTTTTATGTGTTCCACTTTTATAAGTTATTAAATGTTTATCTCGCTTTTTAAAGTAAGTGTTTGTTATTGCTATGTCGTAGGCCATAGCAAAATCTAGAATAGTCTCGCCCGTCTCATTTCTTTACCCAAACCCATATCCCCATGTACCCCTTCATATCCTTTACTATCCTTCCCTACATGACCATTTAAGCCCCCTCCTAAAAAAGTCATCTCTCTATTGGTATGTCTTGGACTATTTTATCTATGTCCTCATAAAATTGTCTCTTAATTCTATCATCTAATCCTACTTGTGGTGCATAAGCACTAATTATGTTAATTATCTCTTCGCCTAATATAAGTTTAATTAATAAGAGCCTATCACCTATTCTTTTGACATTAACTACTTTATCTTTTAAATCTTTGTCTAATATTATGCCTGTGTCATTTCTATTATTATCCTTTTCTGTACACCAAAGTTTATACAAATCTATTTCTTTAGCTTTTTCTCCATTTAGTTTCTTGTAGACAGCCTATGTTTACTCTCCATTGTCTCATTGTATCCACTAACTCCATACTCTTTACCTATAAGCGTTCCTACATTCCATGTGGCTAGACGAATCCCATTCTCTTGGACTAGCTTTTTTACATGCGCTCGTCCAGAATATAGCGGGAACCCTTGCCTATTTTTTTACCACAATCGGGAGGCACTGCAGCGCATCGCTTCTGGGGAACACCCTTGCTAACCCTTGCTCATTTCTCACTGTACTTGGGGTCCGGTATAGCACGTTGCTTTTGGAGAACGCCCTAGCTAACCCTTGCTTATTTCTCACTGTACCTGAGTTGTATTACAGCGCGTCGCTTCTAGGGAACGCCCTAGCATAAGCAGATACTATAGGTTCAAGATTCATGATAAGTTTTGGCAAAATTTTATATTGGCTGCCTACCTGACACAACCCAGCCCTTTTACCTAGGCATGGGATCGGTTAAGGGACAGTTAAGTTCATCACCCTGCTTAGATGCTCCCTTCCACATGAGTATAAGTATAAAAGCATAAAAGAGAAAGAGGACAACCAAGATTGGCAAATTTCAGTCACTCACACATGAACCACTTAAAGAGGAGAGAGATACTTGTCATTCTGATTTGGTCATGTTCTCAACGATTAGGGCAACACCACAATGAACACATCTGAGCATCACCAAGCTGCCATTATTGAAACTACGCCACAACCACGCTGTAGATCTTGATCACGAAAGAGAAAACACACAAATAGCAGCATCGCACACTAATAGTACATTCACATGGATTTTTGCACAGAAAACCCTAGGAAACAGCCCTAGGGTTTAGATCGAACGGTCCTAGGGTACTCCTTGATGAGATAAACATAACAGGGTTCGAGCTTCTTTTTTTCCTTTTTTTTTTTTCCCTTTTTAAAGAATCAAGGGAAAGATGAGAGGGAAGGGGAAGAAAAGGGGAGATGAAAGGAAAGAGGAAGATGAAAGGAAAGGCGAAGATAAAAGGAAAGAGAAGGGGGAAGATGAAAGGAAAGAGAGATGGAAGGAAAAGGGAAGAAAGAGGAAGATGAAAGAAAAGTTCAAATATACTCTGTTACCATGTTAAAGTATCTAGAGAAAGAAAAGAGAGAAGAGAAAAAGGAAAGAGAAGAGAGAGATATGAAAGATGTAAGAGAGAGACAACAGAGTGACATGAGATTCAAAATAACCCCTCACACCACTTTTATATTATTAAAAAATGTGAAAGGGAAAAACTGCCCATATCAAATATGAAATGACACTAGGTCTTAGAACTTGGATAAAAGAACTTTTTAACATTCATATTTCATAAAAAAGTAAGAAGTGAATAACTCTTACAAAGTAGACAACCATTAGTCGACACAGGGGCATGAGTTAGAGATGTATATTGGTACGACGAGGTCTTAAGTGACACTAATGACCTGAAGCATCATTATTTTCCTTTATAGTAAATACTCATTTTGAACTAAATTGAACGAACTTTCACGCAAAGATAAATAATAAATAACTAAAATAAGACTTACTAAATACTAATAACAAAAGATGTTACTACTATAGTCAAAGTTGTAATAATCTATCAAGATCTGATTTATAATACTAGAAATTCTTTTACATATACATTAGTAAAAAAACATCTGAAGTACGTAATATTTGCTTATGATATTACAATCTTAGCTACAAGAATGAAGAAACAAAATGGAACCTGTCAGTATTCAAAGTTCTGAAGAGTACACGCTTGACTCCTTTAGGAATACTTAGGGACTCCATGACCATCGCTGTGAACATGGAAGACACGATCAATGGCTAAAAACACCAAAAAGAGGTTTCGATGACCTTAATAAACTTGAACACTAGCATGATTTCAAAAAAGTAATATCCAAGAATACTAATAAGCAATGATGCCGATTACAAGTTGGCCATAAAATACAAGCTCAACGAAACAAGATGTGTGTCACACGTATTAATTCACAAAGTTATCGCACAGATGCATTTTAAGATATTAACTTATGAAGTATAAATGATAGAACACAATACTTAAAATATGACAATAATTGTAATAGCAAAGATAACGAAGAGTATTTACTTCAACAGAGTATGATTGCATCAGCTATAAATTGTCGCAGTCAACAAGGGAAAAGGTTAACAACCTTTTCAAAGATTATCAATAAAGCATTTATGTTCCATATTAAAATACAATGAGGTCAGTTTGTATTTTTGGAACATCAATAGTTGCTAAAGGTTATCTAACAAATGCTTCAAAGTACAACAAGCCACGCCTTTTAAATCCAATTGGCTATTTATCAAGGTACATTGTCAAAAAACAAAAAATATACTCAGCCGACTTATTAGGCACATAGATATGCCATTAAAGAAGTGTATAAAAAATTTTCAAACAGCATCCAATTAAAAATATGACCATATATAAACATAAGGATATGTGTACATGTGAGTACTGTTCTGCCCAATCGAAGCCAAGTTGACTTCCAGAAGTCGACTCAACTCAATCAATCGACAAGTTTTAGATTCAACACTCGGTACAATGAGCTTTTCAATTTCTTCTAAAATTTGATGAAATAACTATAAAACAATTTCTGGCTGTCATGATAATAATTCCACAAGGTTGGAGGTATTTAATTAGTTAAAGCTCCAAGGTTCCAACAGTAGGTTGCACTTCGCTTGAATACTCTTACCTCCCCTATCAGCAACATAGTTATGGGCTTAGAAATTCCTCCCCCCTTCCCTCTCTCTTTCTCTCATACACACACACACACATTAGCGCATTTTGTATTTTATTGTGTTTTTAAGGTAAACTTGTCACCAAACATCCAACCTTTTTAGTACACACAAATTCTTTCTTCAAGCTAGTGCTTCGGTATAGATAAAATAATATAGTACCTTTTTTCATCATTTACATAATATTTGCATATTTTGAATTTTATTTTTTTTGCACGGGGGATATATGTCACCAAACATCATCCCTTTTTCAAACACACAAATTCTTCCTCCAGACTAGAGCTTGGGTACAGATCATCATCATCCAAGCCTTATCCTAATAAATTGGGGTCGGCAGCTTGGGTACAGATAAAAGATAAAATAGTTATAGTCTTTTTTCATCAAATACATATTTGCATGTTCTGCATTTTATTGTGTTTGCATGACAGACATACGTCACTAACATACTCCCTATTTCTCACTCACAAATTCTTCCTACAGGCTAGTGCTTGGATGTCGACAAAACAACATACTATGTTTTCCATTTCAATTTGAATAATAATGCCTTAGATTAACTGCTTAGATTAACTGCTAGATCAATTTTAAATTGATTATTCCAACTTTTTTTATTTCTCTCGTATAGAGAAGTTTGAAAAATTCATCAAGCTTTGCTGAGTGGATGACTCGGCTTAGCTCGCTCCTAGTTAGGACTGATTTTGATTTTTAAAATAATGCACAAGGCAACATGCATGCACACATTTAGATTGATTAACTATAAAAAATAAACAAATATCATAAACAGCACATGAAGTGAGTGCATGTATATAATATATTCACCCATAGTCCTATACATGTATATCATAAACATCATATGAAGTGAGTGCATGCATATAATAATATATTCACCCATAGTCCCATTCACTTGTATATACTGATGCATGTAATATGAACTCGTTGACACCCGATACCGATGGGCCTTCAGTATTGTTTCACATTGCATGCATCAGATCTGATGTTAAAAAGAACAAGGGCAGAAATGGTCAAATCCCACCTCACTAGCCAAAGGGGTAGGGATGGCATTCTGCCAAAAAAAAAAAAAGGCCTCAGATACATATCGGAGATCTGAAACCCCAATGCTTACCAATTGTAGAGAAAACAACCCAGTTGAAACTGTTCCATCTCTTATGTACTTAGGATAAGGGTTAATGATATATTGTTTTATCAATCCTAAGGAAAGACATCCACTTCGGAGGTGGGTCATCTCCTTTCTCTAATTCTTTTTCTCTCTATAGTCCTAAGGAAATACATAGATATTTTGGAAAGAGGGGTTGAAATTTGTGAATCAAAAAAGGATCTTTTGGAGGCCTTTCAGATCAAGGCATTCATGGACCTTGTTTGGTTTAGAAATGGAGCTCAATTCGCAAGTACATGGAGTGAGATTCTAAATAACTAGGAGCAAGGTCCCTGATTTTTAGCAAATCGTCTTCATTGATAACTTATTGGGATCAAAGGATCGTGATCCTGGATCAGAATCGTGACCCGACCTACATAATTCCAACAATTATGGTGCAATACAATGCTACAGAATGCAGTCAAAGCAACTTGATGGCAGTTTCAAGCAACCTAACTATCTTATTCTCTGCATTTGCAGAAAACCAACTCATGTAGTCATTTAATGTAGGCATGCATCTGACCTTTTATGTTTATGTAGAGGTATTTGTACAGGTTTAGGTTCTATATGCAAAGACAAAGCAAGGAATGTAAACTCTGTACAGCTTACTGAAAATTATTAGAAATTCTTTTCCTTAGCTTAATGTGTTGTCCCTTGATAATGTTTGCCACTCAATGCCAAGTTGCCGACTGGAAGAAATCATATTAATACAATTCAAAGAGTATTCAGAACAAAATCAATTTATAAGTCTTTAGCACAAGGGAGTTAGAAATGATTACTAACAATAAACAAACACAGAAAAATTGATTATTTGAAAGTTTCAGGCAAACCTCACCAGTTATGTTTTTATCTCTGGGTACATCCACGAGTAATGCAGGACCTATTACAAGGAAGAAAAAATTATTTTCAAATGCCAAATCATATTAACATAGAGAGAGTTCCATTAGAAGAAGAAACATTTCATGCTAATAAGCTTTGAGGGTCAATATTTCAAGATTGCATGCCTCGCAACTGACAAAATAACAAAGATGCATGTATGTATTTCAATTGAAACAAGGCAAGGAAATAAGACAAGTTAAGCAGCATAAGGACTTAGAATCAATCCACCTGAATGTAATTTCGTGCTACTTATAAGATGCAAAATAGTGAGCAGTTTCAAGAGTTGAATCACTTATCAACAAAAGGTTCAAGAAAATAGTAAATACATTATGAATGTAAGATTTTCTATTGTCAATGCATTTTTAAAATGTCATATGTACATATTATAGTTACAGGGATCTCCCAACCTGGGTGTCACTCTAGTGTTGGAGTATGTTGCCTTCAAAGGCCTTAAGAGCATGTAAAAACACATGATTATAGTGACATTGTCCTCCAATGGGAGTGTGGTCGATGTGTGACTAGAGAAACATGCTTCGTAAATATTTGTTAACGCAACCAGGGTTGGGCTGTCTAGGCCCATGGTAGTTTTAGCCAGGTGCAGTTGGCAGCTTGTACAGGCAAGGTCAAATCCTCAATGTTATTACCACACAGCAGGTACACATGATACCTGCATCTATAAGAAGCGACCCGTAACAGTAGGACATGTACATGTACTGAAGAAAGGACCCCCTGCACTATTGCGAGAAATTCCATGTGTCCATGCGAGACATGATTTGTCCTTAGGCAGACCAAGTAATCCATAAACTAGACTAGTGCTACCACTATTTATTGGCCAACATTGATGGACCATTCAAGAGCCCATGCGATTGACTTTGGGTCGTGGGTTCCAATGGGTGGTTTGAGAAGATAGCCCGAGGACCTCAGGTACTAGCATAGGTGGAGTGCCAGCATAAGTGGCGTGCCTTAGTAATTTGCATTTCCTGACCCGATTGATCCAATTCTGTTTTGGAAATATTTATTATGTTTTAAATATTTTTTGCATCACAAAAAAGAATTTTTAATATGTATTTAACATTTTTATCAACATGAATTTTTAAATCATAATAAATCATGCATAGGCATTTAAAAATACTAACTTGAAATTAAAAATATTGTTTGGGTAATTGAAATTTTCTGGGACCCACCTCAAACCCACGGGCCATGCATGCACATGGAGCAAGGCCCATATAAGTGTGACGCATGGGCCCATTAGGCTCCATAGGCCCACACACCCCTCTTCCTAATAAATCCAAATGTTTGCTTTTTATGTTAAATTGGACACTTTTATTTTAAGATGTTTGGTGGGTTTTAGGAAGCATGCAATAGATCTTCTTGAAGGCATAGGAGTTCTATAAACCTTCGAGAAGAATTTTAAGATAAAAAGATAATCTTTTTTGATAAAAAACATTCCTATTTTGGTAAGGAGAGAATGGGTCAACGAGACTCAAAAGGTAAGTGTAATATTGTAAATAAAACAGCTTGATATGCTTTTGGAGCTTTTTTATTTTTTATTAAGATTGAGCTCCCTTGTATTATTATTAGTTATCCCAATGGGCCACATCCTAATATTTTTTTAACGTATTTTGGGGGATTTTTGTTACATAAATAAACCACACCTCAAAGGAATATAAAAATATGACTTAATAATTAAATAAATTTAATTAATAAATTTTTGTTCCCATTTTTTATTGAATTTTATGAGACTTAGATCTTTAATAATTTCTAATTTTAAAAATTATTTATTAGTTCAATAATCATATGAAATGCCCTCCCAACATAGGGAACATCCAACATGTGACGTTCCCCCCCTCCTACTCCCACCTCCAACCACTAAGAAGATTCTCTTGATATTGCTAATTGCCAAACTAGAATACATGTTCAATCCAACAAAATGATTTTGTCCAATAGTATAAAGGAAAATAATATCAATAAACTCGACTGTCATCTCGGAACTTCAAAGTCCTCCTTGTTGCCATCCTTCTAATCAAGAAATTCCTCTACTTCTCATGCCTCCTTCCCTCTTTTTCGTTCCCTTTTAATTAATCGAGTTTTTCTTTTTAATTTTGTTTTCTACCCATAATGTAGTGATAGTTTAGCACTTACTAGCTCAACATGTTATCCTTAAGTTCCTTCACTTTATTTTCACATTCATTTTATCATGTTTCTTTCTTTTGATTTTCTGGATTATTATTTGGTGTTGCAATCTCCAATGACTGCTATGATTCAAAAGCATTGCAAAACGACTATATTAAGCATATACTTGCACATTTTTGCATTTGCATGTGTATGCATATACATGCACATCTACACCTCGATATTACAAATAACTATGTTCCAGGTACTTAAATTGTAGAGCCACTTTCCATTAAAACATTTCTTTCACCTAGCATGGGTCAAACGTAGTTAATGCCAAACTTTCTTCTTATGTGACTGAATGCAAAATTGAAGTTCTGTGAAGCCTAATTAAATGGCAAAAGGTGTTGTAGAATTCTGAATGTGCAGAACATCTCCTCTCTTAGACATGTCCCGCACAATTCCAAAGGACATACTATCCTACCCTCTTCATTTTCAAGCTTAAAAAGAATGGAACTTCAGAAGCGTGCCAACATAGTTTGAATGATTTCCAGGTACATCTCTTAGCCTTCAAAGTGATTATAATAATTGTCAAACAAGTGGCAGCAAATTTCAGTACAAATCTGATATCCCAGAATGTTCCTCTGCCCATTCATCTTCTACTAGGTTTCAGAAAATTTTCATAATACAAAATAATCCTCCAAAAAATTGAATGAGACTTTCGGTAAAGGTTCACAGACACCAACATGTTACATGCATCAAAGTATGACAACACTGACCTTGGGCACACTACAACTACATTATGCCCAAATTTCTAAATGTTGCTAGACAAGGGCTAAAAAATGGATAGAAATACTCACATATAAAACTAGAGTGTTTAGACAATTTGCGAGATTCAATATACATACCAAAATTGTATTTCTCCAAAAGATATCTTCTAGATACATGACTAGACATGAAGGGCGAAGAAATGTTTACTAAAATGCTGATATCAGAGATGTTAGTGCCATAAGCGCCATTGCTAATATATTCTGTAAACATATTGATGATGATGCCCATAGAAAGTAAATTCATCAAAAAGTACGCATAGATGACATATCAAGATGACCCATCTTGGAGGTCAAATTTCCAAATCTGGCTATGGCCTAGAGCCACAAATGAGGTGACTGAAATGAAACCCTTAAAAAGAATAACATAAGCTTAGGCTGATCTTAGAACAGAAAAGGTAAAGTAGATGATAGCTACCACCAGCATATTTATAAATAACCAAACTGACTTTGTTAACGTTAAGCTATGTTGGCTTTTGTACTTTAAAGGCTGTTGCTCATGTATTCCCCATGTAGAGAACTCATTTCATCTCTCTAGTAAGGGTGCACAACCCAGTTTTGAGTGGGAATGCGGATTGGGCCACGGGGGACCAATTGGATTCTATGGATGATACAGATCACTAGAGTGTGTAATGTGAGGGTTATAGACTCTGCCTTGGTTTGTGGACTAGGCCTTGGCTAGATTGAGTAGCGAAACTTGCCCCTTGGGCCCGGCAGTGGCTTAATGCCTAATGCACCGGTTATACCTTGTTGAGATCAGCAGAGAGCTCAGTGGTAGGTGTGGTAGCACAAGGGAAATATTGTGTGAACAGGTAACTAGAACGACCAGTGATAGATTTCATGTGTGACGGTTGAAGGGCCGAGAGGGAAAGCACCAAAACCTCAACACCCCACCCTTGCATAATGTACACATGATAGTTGGGTTAGATAGTCTTTTGGTTAGGAACTGTGATATGTCTGTGTGTACATGTGCTGTGAGAGGACCCCTGCACTTGGATTGGTGCACATGTCTAGAATGACATTGACTTATTCTTGGGGAGGCATCTGAAATCCAGAGGACTCTGTAGTTCATCCACATCTTTGCTAACTTTGATAAGTCAATCGTGAGCCCCTACAACGAGACTAACCGGTCATGAGTTATATTAGGTCATATTTCACATTGAGGTGTAAGCTGATTGATGTGTTTTCCCATGGAATGCTCACTCATTCAGGATTTCCTAATGTTTTATTTTGAGATGAATATATTGCCTTTTATCTTTTCAAACAAGACACCATAAAATATGTGTTTTTGTGTTATTTAAAGGAAGAAGGATTCTAAATTAGAATTACTAATTTGCTTTATGAAAAACTACAAGCAGTGTACAGAAAATCGACTCGGCCAAGGTACTTGGACCTTGGCCAAGCCAAGTTACTCAGGCGCGTTCGAGTAACTCTCCTGATTCTAGCCCATTTAAAAATAGAATAAAATACGATAAAAAGAAAATAAATGACTGCTTTATATCATATATCTATATAACATGCCTTCCATATACAAAATTTTTCAAGTGGCACGCTGGTTAGTGGTTCTAGGCCCTTTTGAAAGGTTTTGGGATCAAACCCCCATGTGTAACTCTTTTGCGGTCCTGTTAAATAAATAAATAAATAAAATATATATAAAAGTTATAAAAGGTGAAAGAAGGGGATTCAAACCACATACGTAAGGGAAACAGGATGTGCACACAAACCAATAAGTAATTTTGTGGTTATTTGAATAAAATCCAACATCATAATATTTATAATTTAACACAAGTTGTACACCCTGCCAAGTCCAAGTGGATTCCGCTGAGTCCGGATCAACTAAATACAAAAAAATCTATGCATGCCATTTTTGGGCATTGGAACACATGTGGGCCACAATAGGCACATGTGACCAATTAAGATCCAAGTGGATCACATGGGTCCACTGGCAATGAGCCCCTTGTAACCACAAAGTGTTTTAATGTGGGGGCCCACTTGCCACAAGCTTTTCATCATAGGCACAAAGAAATTACAAGTCACAGGTGATTTGAAGTTGTTACATGTGTCGAGATTCTCTTGGGATTCTCTCTAGCCACTAAAAATATTCTCTTCAAGATTTAGGCGGCTTGATTTTAAACTGAATTTGTTTAAAAAGATATGGGAAGAATATTCTTTAAAGTCAAAGGGAATTAGTAGGGATCTTTTCTTGGATGGGAAAGGATTCCTGCTGGAAAATTGAGAGGGTGTGGATAAAACCACCAGGGACAAGGTCTGACCTACACCCTTGAAACATGATAGTTGAGGCTTGGCGGTGGCTAAGTTTTAAAGGCCTCTCTCACCCCACAAATCGTCTATTGAAAGCATAACTACCAATTCAACTTAAAGTCTAAATCAAGAACAGTCTACAAAAGTTGGACTAACTCTCCCATAATGCACAGAATACTTTTGTGAGACAAGGGCAGAGACGTTAAAAGAAGAGGGTTTCCTAGGGATTTCACATCATCGTCAAGAAGGTAGAAGGGAGTTCTACATGGCCAGTGCACGGTGGAAAACGATAGGAGAAACGTCTTCCATAGGCTGCACATCCGATTTCCATTGTCTCAAGGGTTGGGACGTCGAAGAGAAGACATGCATCTCCATGTTAAACACACAATGAAGAGAGAGACTCAAAGATGTTAACCTTAAACATGGAACGAAGAAGAAATAAAGGATTCTTCATGGGGCTACAATTTCATGGCAAACTTATCCTTCAGGGCCGAGCAGCATAGGAACATCTTCGAAGTAATCATGTAATTGAGAAAAGCAGGTCTCAGTTGCAGCAAAAACAAGCAGAAGGTGGAGGCAAAACAACCATGGAATTCTATATAGGGCATAGGAGAGAGCAGTGGTCTTCGTTGACCTCTGCATGACACACCAATTGGGTCTCCTCAAGGCCTCTACATTAGGTATGTTGATATCCATCCCATCCCTGATCTGAGAATACAGTTGCAGCAAAAACAAGCAGAAGGTGGAGGCAAAACAACCATGGAAATCTATATAGGGCATAGGAGAGAGCAGTGGTCTTCGTGGACCTCTGCATGACACACCAATTGGGTCTCCTCAAGGCCTCTACATTTAGGTATGTTGATCTCCATCCCATCCCTGATCTGAGAATACAGAACACGTATCTTAAATGTCCATCCACTTGAGGAAAGTTGAAAAAGTCTCTCAAGCGTTGCTGCAAAATCAAGGTAGAGAAAGGTTTTCTCTACAGGCTGTTTGAAGTGCTCATGAGGAGAGTAAGCTTCTCTATGGGTTATTGTGTGCATGTGAAGGCGGAAGGCAACCTGTATGGGGCAGGTTGAAGAAAAGATGATCTTCAAAGGCTGCTGCATGCAAGAAAAAGATGAAAGAGTCCCTAGAAGTGCACAACATAGAAAAACCCTAGAGATGAGAAATCCCAAAAAGGGGAAAATAAACCTTATGGATCGAGACATGCATAGTTATTGAGTTGTTTTCGAATTTTATAGAGGACTTCGTATGAGTTGGTATTACATCAATCCATAGAGATTCAACATGGCAGCAAACAGATCCCATGGCCTCCTCTGTATCTCGTTTTGTATTTCTTGATGCTGTAAAAGTGTAAAGATGTATGAAACTATGTAAGTGTATGGCAGCACCTGTAAAGTGGGCTTGTCCGTACTACGTACAATCATATGTGTCAGGAAAAAATTTCTGAAATTTGATACGTGACAAAAACCACTATAGCTGCTCACACAAGCTGTTTGTATCATATTTTTATTTCCCCACCTCAAATTGAGAGATTTCAGTCCAAAATCTACAGAAACACCAAACATATCAATAAAAACATAAAACCCCCCCAGAAAAGACATACCATGGACAACTTTGCATGAGGATGTCCACTTCACTCTAGTCATGAACAACACGATCATCCCGCAACTATCAAGTATCAAAATCTTAGCCCAACTTTACTTTTGATTTGTTTTGCATATCAGAGACCCACCAGCCTTCTTTCATCACTAGGCACCAACTCTCACATCCCTAGAGCATGCGCTATCCAAGAAAAGGCATCATATCCCAACAGTTTCTTATCATCCCATAGGAGAGAAATGAGTATATATAACAGCCAAAACCATCCATCCAAGACCTTCATCTTCCACTTGAAACCTACCTTACAATACCTTAAGTGCACAATTTCACATGACAAGGCCGTAAAAAATATTTCCTAACATGCCAACCCCCAACTACTACTTCTCTTTGCCCCCACAGCAATACAACCTCTAAAAAGAAGAAATAACCCCTCCAAACCAACCACATACGAGCATGTAACCTCGATTTTCATATAAAGACATAACCGTTGTGAAAATTTCTGTCTCACACTCCTCATGCTCCTCTACTTTCTAAGCCCTTACAGCCAAATGGACCAACAATAGATAAAGCCCCTTGAACATCATGCTTGAAAACTGACATGATGAAAATATTTGCAGGCCTCTAAACATTTCCCAACCCGTTACCAGATCATTTTGTCTGTCCCATTGGTTAGCACATGTCCATTTACCCACAAAAAGGAAGGCAACAGAGTTCTCACCATAACCAACCATGAGAATGTGATTGATATCACAGTAATTTAGGTCCAACAGATAAAGAGAAAGCCTAGAACTCGGACGGCCACTAAGAAATAGCAAAAATTGAAGTAATGCTTGCAAGGAACAGATTTAGTCTTGAGGCCTGATAGGTTAAAGAAAAGAAAAAACTATTAAAAGGAAAACTTGAAGTGAAAGAGCAGAATGGATGAACTCGTCAAATTAACATGCAAAGACCAAAAGTTAAAGCAATTTGGCCTAGCCTCACTTCTACTAGAAACCATGACCAAAGATCTGCAGCCATAGAGAATAGAATATGCTATTCTGGAAAGCGTTATTCTTTTCTAGTAAGAAACCCAATGTGACTACAAATTTCTGAATCTTAACCTCTTGACCAAAATAGTAGCACTTAGGTTCATCTTTGATCTCTTGTCTCTTTTCCACTAGCATAACTATTCTGTGGCTCTGATGAAACTTACTATATAACTGAATTAAACTTCCCCCGCTGATTCCATTGTCTTCCTGCATCATTTAACTTATGGCTGGTGCCCTTTAAATAAAACATATGAAGTTAAATAATAATTAAAACACCATCTATAAAAACCTCATTATCCATGAACGTACCAAAAGAAAATGCAGATTTTCTAAAAACTAAACAAATAAATAAAATACAGATAATAATATTGTTTTGGGTCATTAAAGTTACAGGACAAAAAAATGGGGGATAATGACATCTTCTCTCTCCCTAGGATCACCAAAAGCAAATATGCTGTGTGTAACTAGTCCCTGGAGTTTTAGCCTATTCGGAAACACCCTTGTGCGTCACACAAAAGGTTGTGGGTTCGAACTTAGAGCTCTTTTACAAAATATACCAAGCTGTCCTGCCCTTAGTTTTGTTATTTACTCTGCCGTAACCGGTCCCAAGTCGGTCATAAGCCCATTCCAAGGAGAAAGGAGGAGGGTTGTGTTAGGTAAGCATCTACCCTAAAACTTTCCTGAATCCTGAATGATGATGGAATAGGATTTATGTAACTGACCCAAATATGGGATGATAATGATGACGATTGCGCCGGCTAGTGAAGAAAAAAATAATACAAAAGAAGAAAAACAATCCAGATAATCAATAGCCCATATATCAATAGCTCAGATACCACTTCGGCTGCATCATAATGCATAACAAACAACACTATTTTCAATTTTTTTTTTCTTGTTTACAAGAAGAGAGAAGGAGAAAGGACCGTTAAGGGTATGGAGGTCGAGGGTATCGACATCATAGCCGGCGTCATGGTATTCCTGAAAGACATGGGCAGGGGAGTCGACATGGGTGCCGGTGTGGGTGGGGAGCTTCATGACGGAGGAGTTGGCGAGGGAGCCGTTCCTCATGCTGAGGGCGAGCCACAGAAAGCTGCCGAGGCCTTCGGCGGAGTCCCATGAAAGCATGTCCTCCCTGATGGCGTGGCTTATGTCCATTATCCGCCTCCGCCCATCACCGCCTCCGCCTCCTTCCACAGTCTCTGCTCCGCACACACCAGAATCAAAACCGAAGCCAGAAGGATAAGCAGCCGACCCTGACGCCATGGCAAAAGCCACGGCACACAGGGAGAGGATCAAACCCATACGCTTCCCATCCATCGTCTCACCAGATCACACAACAGAGGACAAAAGAAAAAGAAAAGTGGTGTTGACTTGATACCATATAACAAGTCCGGGAATAATAAAATGAAAGCTTCCTACGTTCCCCCTAGTTCGATCCTTCCCCTTATCTAACCATCCATTCGTGAATGGAGGGTTAAGATTGTTTCAATCACAATATTATATCTCTGCATTAATTTATTTTTAATTTGTTTTCTATAAACTATTTAGAGTTTTTGATTTTGACACCAGAGTTTGGACGTCCCTTTTTTATTATACTCGTATTAACGAAAAATACAAAAAAAAAAATATTTTCGATAAAATAAAATGACCAAAATACTTTTAAAAGCTTCAAAAAGTATTTTGGTCATTATTTTTTATCAAAAAATTATTGTTAATATTCTTTATATGTATGCTTCAATAAAAAGATGGCACATACCAAATTTCATATTCAAAAAAATTATATTAAAAAACTAAAAATAAATTACTTTGAGACGTCGGATCTAAGATCAAACGGTGAATGGCTCTCTTTGATAAAAAATTGACAGCTGGATGGTAGGAAAGGATAGAAGTTTTATTTTGTAGGAGGAACATAGAAAGCTTTCTCATAATAAAATATCATTGGATAAAAACATTGGTACCACATTGGTTTTTATTTCAAAAACTAGGAGGAAAATATCACTTGAAAATATGGATCGCAGTAAGCTATAGAATCGGATTGGGTTAAAAAAAAAAGAAAATATCGGATGTGTACAGATGGCTCAATATAGGATTATAATTTGCAACTATTGTATAAATATATTGGGCAAGCTTTCAATGCTTTCTCTGCAACATAACATAAAAGTTCTATTATCCCATTTATCCAACCGTCCATTCTAAATGGAGGGCTAAGATTGCCCCAATCACAATGTCACGTCTCTACATTATTTTATTTTTATTTTTATTTTATAAACTATTTGATACCAAATTTTGTACATTCATTCATCTATTAAACTCACACTAGCAAAAAATATAAAAAAAAATATTTTCATTAAAATAAAATGACCAAAATACCCCTTAAAGTTTAACTTTCAAAGGTATTTTAGTTATTATATTTTATCGACAAATTATTTTAAAAATTTTTTATAGGTGCGCCCCATTGATAAGATGGCATATACCAAATTTCATATTCATACAATTTATAGATCTAAAGCCCAAATGTTGTTTTGATGTCCAAATGTCCTAAAATTAATCATCTCGACATCAAGATGCATGGACATTAAAAAAATATGAATTTCAAGTTTTGGAAATAGTGCATCTTGTAACGATCTACCATCAATTTTCAAGATTTTCAAGTTTTTATATATCTAATCGATCTACAATTTTTTTAAAACTTTAAATTTTTACAATTAAAGATGAAAACATATTTTAATACTATCACAAATATTTTCAGTATTGAAACCACATTTCTCGACATTATTTGAAGGTATGTTTTACTTTGATTGTTTAGAGCATCAGCGCTACACAAATCGCACCTTATTTTAATTATTTATTTTTTAGGAATATATTGCTTGTACTTTTCATACTCTTTATTTAAGGGAACTCATTGATGAAATTTTTTATAGAATTTTTTGTTAAATCAAAATTCTTAATTTACTCCCTATGTTAGTGTACATATCTTTAAACCAAAATTCAATACTATTAAGTTAATAAAGAAATAAAGTTATAAGGGAGAAGTTTTTTTTTTAAAAATAATAAAATATGGATTTATATAAATTTCATTAAAAATACGCTTTTTTAAAGATCGTTTGAAAAAACTCGGAGTTCTAAACGTACTTAAAAAAATCAAAGACTTTTTGAAAAAATCATGTTTTAAATGGAGACTTGCTAACTATGGTTGAGACAATTAGCTGGTATGGTGGGATAAGAACGTAAACATATGACACTTGCTGTCATCGGGTTTGCCTATGAATCTAAATTTTATTGATTGAAAAAAGTTTATATAAGGTTGTAACCTTAAAAAATGTAGAATTAAATATGCACATCAGAAACTTGAAAAAGGTTATTTTAATGCTGAAAAACCATTTAATTGATCATCTCGACATCGAGATGTATGAATATGGAAAGAAAAGAAGATATTGAGTCCCATAAATAGTTTGCAACACATTATCTAGACCGTTCATTTCAAGATTTCCATATGTTTATAGATCTACTTGATTTTAACTATTTTTTGAGTTTAAAATTTTATAATTATAGATAAAATAGATTTTCAGATAATCTTATGAATTTTTTACACTAAAATTAGACGCTATGATAAAATTTAGAGGTGCGCCTTAATTGGATGGTTTAAGGTCGCAACCTTATAGAAACCACACCCTTGGTATTAATATTCCTTTTAGGTATTATTCAACAAAGGAAAAGTTTATATAAGGTTTAAATTCACATTAAAATTTCCTCTAGAGGAGGGTATTTCAACATTAGATCTCTTGAATTGATTGTCTTGACCTCAAGATGTATGAATGTGGATAGAAAAAACATTTTAATTAATGAAAATAGAATATCCTATAACCAGTTATCTAAACTGTTTGTTTTCAAGGTTTTCAAGTGTTTAAGGATCTACTCGATTTGTGCTATTTTTGAAATTTTAAATTTCTTAAATATGGATCAAAATAGAGTTTAAAGCCATCATAATATTTCTAACATTGGAACTATATCTCCAAGTAAATTTTAAAGGTGCACTTTACTAATATAGTATAAGGAGGGGTGCCTTATTGTTTATGATTGTATTTGTGCTGATCTCAAGGAGAGATTAACTCAAATACCATGTGGTACGAGTTAAATTTATGAAACAGTATATGGAATAGGATTGCTTAAATTATAGGCTCAAAAAACATCGCAGATCCATACAGATCTATTTCTGTTATGAGTGTGATGATAGTGAGAGCATCAAAATCTATGTATATGGATTTTTAAATACTTCTCAAATTTTACAGCATTAAAAATAATAAAAACTTATAAAATTTTATTAACTTCAAGATAAGGTAGTTGTAGAAAAAATAAATAAATTAAAGAATAAATAACTAAATTAAAGAGAAGGGATGAATTACTTATTTTAAGGACCCGAAACCTGGAGTTTTAAGCTTAGATCTGGCTAGCTTGTACCACCATCTCCTATTTGGATGTATTTGCTTGCTGGAATTTGCAGGGATCTAACACTCATTTTACTTAGATATAAGGTTCCTAAGGTTTTAAAAGGATTAGTAGTGTTTTAGGTAAGGTTTTTCTAATTTTTCTTAAGGTTACTATATGATTTTTCCTAATTTTCTAAGCTCCTATTTTCTAATGGAATTTTGGGATTTTTTTATGATTTTGAAATTTTTTCTTATTTTATAAAATTGATTTAAGGTTTTATCTATTAATTCATAGGGATTCATCGGTTAAATTAGGGTCACGCTTAAAAATAGGTCAGTTCGATCAAAGGTTCTAGATTCAGTTAAGAAGTCTTCAATTCTCAAATCTTTTGGAATATTCGGATGAAAACTGACTTAATTGTATTTATCAACCAAAATTGGGCAAGGGAACCACTGAACCAGGCCCATCGAGTTGGGCGGTGCCTTGCCCTCGTCTAGTGCTAGACGGGCAAACCTCGCACGGCCCGAAGCTACGTACATCACAGGCCTGGGCGAGGGTGGATTTTGATAAATTTTTAAACTCTTAACTTTGGATATTTAGGTATGATTTGAGTGATATTTGGATCGCTGTAGAGAGGTCGCTCGACATAATTGTTTTTTTTTTAATTTATGATAGGGTTTTACGTGCACGAGGTTTGCATTAGAGCCTGCGTGGTCCAGAATCAATATTTTTAAGAAATTCCTTTGGCGCATAAATATTCCCGGGAAATATTTAAAACCCTTGGCCCTGTCTGTCCCTCTCTAAACCCCATCCCTGTGTGAGTAAAACCATCCCCCGTCCCTCTGCGAATGAAACTGTCGGGAGGCGCCAACGGCTCTCCTCTCGCTCTCTCTCTCAGAATCCCACACAGAAGCACAGAGCTCTCACAGGAGCCCTCAAACCCTAGTGGAGCTCTCTCTCTCTCTCTCAGCTCTCTTTCTCGCTCTCTAGCCCACACAGAGCTCAGAAGGCCTCACAGAAGCTCAAAAGCATTATTTAGACTGATTTGTGAGCACTCTCAAACGCTAGTCGAGCTCTCTCTCTCTCAGACGTTCTTCACTTCAACCATAGAGTATTGCACAACGGTATGTATTATGTTATTATGATCATTTTTATGCATTGTCAGCCCTGATTTACATTTTTTTTATCCTTACTCTGTGAACCCTAATTTACAGTCCTAGTATATGAAACTTTGAAGCCGTAATTTCAGATTGTTCACAAAGGCTTTTTTATTAAATTTCATCCCAATTCCTTCACCGTCTCCCAAAGTTTTCAATCCTAATTTTCGAATCCCCAATTTACAGCATTGTTTCATCTAAACTTTATTTTATCCCAATATTTGAGTCCAAAAATTCTCATCCCATCCCTTTTTTTTTTATCCCTAATTTACAGCCCTATTTTATCTAGCCCTATTTTGAGTTCCTGTATAGTTTTGCACTAATTGCTTTAAAACTTCCTAATGAGTTAATATCTAATAAAAACACCTTTGCACAGATTGCGTATTTTAGGATATGTTGTATTGATCCCTTTCAGTTTCGTGTCATTATATTAATTCTTGTGATGAATTAGAGATCAATTCCTTTTTAAATATTTTTGTCCTTATGATTTGTTGGCTTTTGTTTTTTTTTTAAAGCATGAAAGACTTGCTTGGATGTTGTGCTCTGTCTTTGCAATTATCTAAAGGGGCACAGTAGTGACTGGGTCTCACAGATTAATTCCTTTTTGTTTACAGATGCTGATAATCTTCATTAGACTGATTTCCATTGTAAAAACATGATAATATGCAGGCATAGACATAGAGGTTAGGGTTTCTGATCCCAAGCATTTTGACAACATCTTTAGGACTCCATTTTTTTTCTTGGAGTACCCAAAAACATCAGTCAACCTTGTAAACAAATATATTTCAAATCTTGAACTCTTTTGTTTAGAACTGAAGACAATAGGAGGACTCCCAGGAGTGTGAAAAGTAGTATTTGCTCTGTGGTAAAGTTAATTCCAACTTCTAAGGCTCCTATGAAAAGAACATTAATGACTAGCCAACAAAAAAACAAAGGAGCTTCTTCACCTCAATGGTGGGTCCGACTTTTTAATGGCTATTTCACTAGACAGTCACAACAACAAAGTACACTGGACACAACATCCTTTACCAACAGCAGATTAGCAATTGATAGCTTGTGGATGTATACTGTAAGGGCTACTGGTGTTGCTGCATTTTGCCCAGTAACAAAGCACGCTTCTCATACAGAGCATCAGTAGGAAGGTGGTTTAAAAGAAGTTCTGGTTCATACACATGTGTTTTCGAAGGAAGATAATAACTTCCTTCTTGTAGGAGAACGCACATTTTCATCCCATTTTTGTTGAGCCACAAGATCATTATATGATTCGAGTTGTTTTGAGAGATAGAGTTGCACCTGAAAAAAGACAGAACATGCTTACAAATCTTGATTTCAGGATGGGCTTTGGCTACGTAGAAAAAGTGAATATTTCAGCAATAGAACATAAACACCTTTTAGCCAATTTAAGAAGCATCTCTTTTTCTCATGTGAATTTTGTCTCAGTAGAACAAGTTTGTTTATTACATGGTGCCTCTTGCATGTCAAGCTCTGCTCCATGATTTGTTGGAAGCTCTTTTTTTCAAGAGCAGTTAATGTAACTCATTTTTCATTCCCTTGTTCATCTGTTTCTTTGAAAGTTGTTCTCCATGTTCTCTTAGAGGATTGCATCCTAATTTTTATCTATTTATTGAGAAAATATGATGTTTTATGGAATTTTTAGTTTTTGTTCGACTGAAAACAAATGATTTGGCAAGTTGATGGATTGATCTTATCCACAATATCAATTGATGGCAGAGTCTTGCCACCGAAAACATTAGCCCTAATTGTTTCAGACTCTCCTTTAACTCCCCTCAAAAGATAAACAATCTTCCTCTATTTCAGTCTCTCTCTTTGTTCCTTTGCACAAGAAGAACGCTGTATAGGCTGATGCTACGTTAATTCATCCCAAAAACTACATAGATGAGCACGATAGTCTCCCAGTGATAAGTTACCCAGTTTAAAATCACTGGCTTGCTGCTCCAATTCAGAAACCCTATTTTTCTTTTGGAAATAGAACTCATAAACGAAATCGCATAATTCCTTAAAGGTATTGTAGTTCATGGAGGATTGACTCATATTCGGCTGCATAGAAAATAGTATCCAATTCATAATAGCGATATCTTCAGCCTCCCAGTCTACATATTTAGCATCTTTTAGGTCTTGTTTTTCCACATGGCCATCAATGTATCCCAGTTTTTTCTTTCCACCCAGAAATAGTCTAACTAACTTGACTCGTTCTAAATAGTATGGGCCATCAAGTCTGGGGTCCAAAAGACTCCATATTTTATGGATGTAGAGAGATTCTCTACTGCAGTTAAGATCTAGTTACATCGTTAGATCGTACTCAACAATTGGGATCAAGTTACACCCTTTGCTCTCTTCAAATAAATGGTTTTACAAATTTGGTTACAACCTCAGTTTCGATCACACTCCTTTTTTTTAGAGAAAAGCATAAAAAAACATCACTATTATGATTTCTTTGATTGGGGTATACATACCCTAATCCATACAAAAACTAGGTTTTCTAATAAATATCATGATTGACATTCGAAATCATAAAGAAACTCTCCTCTATTGATACTGGAGAGAAAATGTTAGGGTTTTAGGGCATGATGATGTCATCTAACCCCAAGGATGACATCACCCCTAAACACAGGTCCTGTGCACCTCTTTGAATATTGACCCCCTTTTTTTCTTCTTGCTCTGATACCGAGTTGAAATTATAGTAGAGAAGAAAACATTTAGATAGGATATAGAAAAAAATAAATGAAAGAAAATAAAGAAGAAGAAGAGGGGGGGGGGGGGAGGAGAGAGCAAGAGGCATGTGAGAGATAAAGAGATAAAGAGGAAAGGTCTGGCTTGCATCTCCATTAATGAGAATGAACTAGGTTCATATCAAGAAATACTAAGATTATTTATTGCTTGCAAGTGGATTGCTGCAATGGACTAAGAGAAAAGAGCTCCATGGAGAAGAACCGAGTATGGGAACTCATGGATCTTGTATATAATAAAAAGGTTGATGGGACTATAGACAAAGCACAAAACATTAAAAGTGCGAAACGTTTCACCCAATTGAGTGTGTGGACTACATTGACACTTTCTCCCTCATGGTGAGAATAGTGAACTTGACGACGTGCTTGTTCAGATGATATTTCTCGAAAGGTCTATCATGGAGAACAATGGGAGTTCCATGATCTCATTATTATGGGTTGAGATCCTAGTGGCAAAGAATGACAAGGAGAAGATTGATGACACTAACGAGTGGTTGTCCTCCAATTTTGATGTGAAGGATATAGGCAAAGTGCATCACGTGCTCGATGTTGAGATCAAGCATAATCATTATAAGAGGCTCCTTAAGTTTGTCTTAATTGACTTACATTAGGCAAAAGATTTAGGATGCATGATGGAGGGTCCAGTGATGCTCCACCCAAGAAAGGTCGTGTTTCATCTAAATCTCTATCCATAGATAGAGATTGATGTTTGAAGAGATGATTTGTGTACGACATGTGAGCAGAGTCAATCTTATGAATGCCATGTTGTGAATGTGACAAGATGTGTTGTCTAGCTTGTCAAGCCACCACTAGAGCAATTCAAGTCCAAAGCATTAGCAAACCGTGAACTTGACACTTTGATATCTCCAAAGAACCATAGACTACTCATGGATCTTTTTGGGAAATGATCCCTACTACGAGGATAGAGCAAGTCAAATTACATGGTGATCTGGATATTAATGATTGACATTAGAAAATGTCTCCACTTAGAGAGCGGGAGCAAGTTCTTGGTGCAACAAGTCAAATGACATCGTTGGCATGTCCATTATTGGTATGGAGTATATGGATTGATGTGTAGCATTATAGGAGAGCATATGGCTCATGAGGAACCCACAAAGCTAGGGATCATAGTGAGTGTTGGAGAGCTGTGAGCATGTTTTGGTGATAACACGTCAGCACAAGCTTTGAAAGAATCCCAAGTATCGTATCACCATGCGCGAGGTGTCATTGAGAGGAGAGAGACAGTCGTGAATGTTATGCTACTAGCAGAGCCCATGACTACCTTGAGAGATGTATAGGGCTCGTGTCATGGGACTGGGACTTGGGAGTCGCCAATTGGTTTTTTGCACCATCATCACTGTCTGACTCTTCCCATACATAGGTGTTGTTTTCGATTTGCCATTTATGCGAGTGATTTATTATATTATAGTTTGTTCAGACACGCACATGATTTGATTGCACATTTACTCTAGCGCACAGGTACACTTGTTCATTGTTAGATAATATTGTCAGCACGCTTGGTCCACTCTCTTGCACAGTGTTGACCGCCTACATTGTCTGGGACATTGGAGGATGAGACACACAGGGTGTGTATCACTTCCATATGATATCGAGAAGAGATTCCATAGTTAGGAATCGACATAATCTATATAAGTGTGTCATCCCACTAGATCGTGTAGCCTGTATGACAGCCAGGTGTGAACGATAGGGATGCTCTAATTAGTTGCTTGGGTGTGACCTAGGGTCGCATTAGTTGCGGCTGATCTAAGACTTGCATGATGTAAATCTGATGTGGATCTTAATATTGTTTATCATTTACATTGTGTTTTGTTTATTATTTACATTGTGGTGTGCGATTCATACCACATGTGCTTAGCGAGACCATTACTACTAGAGAGCTAGAGATGTATAGGATGATCCCTATTGCTTATTACAGTGTGCGAGATATATCTGGTCACTTAGCGATCATGAGTGCCCTTATTGACCGTGTGACTATACTAGGAAGTGGAGATTTGATGTTGTTACTTTAGCGTGCTCTCCTGTCATGTATAATTCGGCTCGGTGGGGGCATAGCTAAGAGAGCCGTCAAGTCAAAATGGAAAAATAGTAGGGCTAGGGGAAGACCGTTGGCATACCTATAGAGATAAGTGTACTCTAATTAGATTTGATGCTCATCGGCTAATCAGTGACTTGTAGTTTTTATGCTGGGTGTTCTTTTGC